AGACTATAGACTAGACTATAGACTAGACTATAGACTAGACTATAGACTAGACTATAGACTAGACTATAGACTAGACTATAGACTAGACTATAGACTAGACTATAGACTAGACTATAGACTAGAATATAGACTAGACTATAGACTAGACTATAGACTAGACTATAGACTAGACTATAGACTAGACTATAGACTAGACTATAGACTAGACTATAGACTAGACTATAGACTAGACTATAGACTAGACTATAGACTAGACTATAGACTTGACTATAGACTAGACTATAGACTAGACTATAGACTAGACTATAGACTAGACTATAGACTAGACTATAGACTAGACTATAGACTAGACTATAGACTAGACTATAGACTAGACTATAGACTAGACTATAGACTAGACTATAGACTAGACTATAGACTAGACTATAGACTAGAGTAGACTATAGACTAGACTATAGACTAGACTAGACTAGACTAGACTAGACTAGACTATAGACTAGACTAGACTATAGACTAGACTATAGACTAGACTATAGACTAGACTATAGACTACACTATAGACTACACTGTAGACTAGACTAGACTAGACTATAGACTAGACTAGACTATAGACTAGACTATAGACTAGACTATAGACTATAGACTAGACTATAGACTACACTATAGACTACACTATAGACTACACTATAGACTAGACTATAGACTAGACTATAGACTAGATTATAGACTACACTATAGACTAGACTATAGACTAGACTATAGACTAGATTATAGACTGGACTATAGACTAGACTATAGACTAGACTATAGACTAGACTATAGACTAGACTATAGACTAGACTATAGACTAGACTATAGACTAGACTTTAGACTAGACTTTAGACTAGACTTTAGACTAGACTATAGACTAGAGAGGATAACGGGTGTAACGACCTGCGATCCATAATGTTATGCAGATGTATGAAAGCATACATCGTACATACTGCTTCCAAAAACCCAGGCGCGAAGGTTCCCAGATAGTCTACCGTCTATCTTTTTATAGAAAATGTTGTCAAAATTGTTTTGTTTTTAGTATTATAAGTAAATATTTGAATAAACTGTTTAAAGGTGATTTTAAGTTTTACATTAAATTTAATGCAAGAACATAATTAGTTTTAATAATTAAGAAAACTGAACTTAATTATATGAGTTTTGTTTGGAAAGTCGCTAATGGAGTTTAGTTAATATCTGATAATGAAAAGTTTCAAAGGGTTATTTATAGTTTTAGATTTAAAAAAAAAATCATAGTTAGTTGGTCGAATTAGTAGGGAATTTTAAGATATAGTTAGATACAATTTTGGTTTAGATGTTATGATATGGCTGGATAATTTCAAATATTAGTTTTTATATATAAAGATGCTGAATCGGAAAGATGATAATTATCTTGGTACGCTGGTAATGTTCGGTAGCAATTGAGGTATATTTATAGGCAAAATAAGTCTTCTTTTGTTGATGCTTAGGTATATTTGCAAGTTGATTCGGGGTTTGTGTAATGTTGATTCACCGGGTTACGTGACGAAGTCTCACAATTTAGGTAGATAGGAAATATTTTTATAGGCCAAATTAAGTTCCTTCAAAATCTAAGTTGCTTCAGTTGAAGATTAACAAGTGCTGAAGTTTAGTGGGATGTGGTAAAATAATTACTTCCCTGGCATAAAATGTGGTTCCACCCGATTACGTAACGGTGTGAAAAATAGCACATGTGTGTTTGTTAGTTGGACCGAGGTCCCACAATACACAAGTGTATTGGGGACGAATAACACAACGTGGTGGTTTTCCGGAAAAATGTATGCCGTCTTCTTTAACTATTTTAGACAAAAACAAAACAGTATTTTTTTTGGGGTAAAAGTCTTAACAACAATGATTTCCTCAATTTTTTTTGATTTTTTGATAGTATATACTAAAATTTCACTTTTAATCAGTTTAGATGTATTAATAAATTTAAAATTTCTAAAACCTTTGACAATTTTTTTTCTTTAATCTCACACTGTACTTATTAGTTAAATGTCTTGAAAAGTAATTTAAAACTTTATGGAATCGCAGTCAAAATTGAAAAGACTAAAGACTTGTTTACTTTTTAAACCAGTAAACCTCTCAAAAATTACTCGTTTCCCTTCCCTCTAACAATAAAACTAGGCGTAGAGCTTTCAGAACTGTAATTGAGATATATATTTGTTACTCTCATTCATGATCCACAAATATCATGTATATTAAATACATGGGGCATACATGAGATCGTATTAACGAGTAAATGAAGTTTAAAGCAAAATGATCATAAACTCTGAGTACTGATCAGTACATATTCTGTCAGTGATGAGATTTGTAAAAAAGGGAAATTTTATGTGCTCATGTTGTAAAACAAATGTTTGCCGGGGATAAACATAAATAAATGTTATACGATTTCTGTCATAATGATAAATAATTAGCATTTTAGTGACACGATAACAAAATTAACTTTATACATAATAATGATAATTTTAGTGAAGAGAATAATAACGGTTTAGAAATTTGATTTCCTAATTTAAATTAAATAGTTTAATTAGTTGCCCTATATTTTCGTCTAATTTATTTAGAACCATATTTTTACAAATAGGTTTCCACCAATAAAGGAGTATCTGTAATAATAAGGTGAAATATTAAAACAAATTTCTAAATAGTAACATAAAAATGACATATCGTGAAAATTATGTGTTACAAAACAGGTTTTATGGACTTATTCTTAATAAGGACAAAAAATCTGAAGTCAAATTTTGATATCTTTTGCGTGAAATTTGCCTATATGTTTCTACCATTCATATCTTCCAACTCATAGTAACAAGTACCATGTTTCTTTATCACCTTGGCCTTTTCGAATTGATTCCCAAGTTTACTGTTAAAGTGGTCGATCGCCTTAGATTGGGCAAAATTTCGTCTGAAGACGATTTGTCCTATTTCGAAATTCACTGGCCTAGATCGAAGGTTATAGGTTTTTGACATTCTTTTCATAGGATTTACGAATTTTCTCTTGTGCTTTTCTGCCTAATAAGTTCTAATTTTTCATCCTTTCTCAAATCAGTACAAGGAGCCTCTAATAAATTTACATTTCTAAGCAGTGAGTAGGATTTGCCGTTCGTAAGCATATTCTGACCAAAAAGAAGAAAGTAAGGCGAAAAACCTGTACTTGCATGAACTGAGCTACGTAAGGCCACAGCTAATGGCCGACAACTTTTCGTCCCAGTCCTTTTGAGATGGTTTAACGTATGCCCTTATGGCAGCCAAAACAGACCTATTCACTCTCTCGCTAGCGTTTGCTTGCGGAGAATATATAGCAGTCAGGTTATGGAAAACTCCATATGAACTAAGAAACTCTTTAAATAGATTAGATTTAAACTGCACACCCATTATCTGTTGTAATCGTTTCCGGTACACCGAAAAATATGGAAAACGCGTTTTTCAAGAAATTCAATAATTACGTTGGAAGTGAACTTACGAATAGGTTCCAGGAAGTGGAACTTTGAGAGATGGTCCAAAACTATTATGATGCCTGTGTTTCCGGAAGACGAACGAGGGTAAGGGCCCAATAAGTCTAAATACAGTTTCTGAAAAAACTCTAACAGAGCTAGCCTGTTGACCCATGGGTGGTCTTAAACATTTATTCGAGGCTTTGTCTGTTTACACACTTCACAAGAAGATACGTAATCAGCAACTTGCTTTGCCATTTTCGGCCAAAAGAAAACGTTTTTAACCTTTGTAGTGTTTTGCCAACACCACCATGAGCACATAGAGGGTGATTATGGGCTCTTTTGATTAAGTCCTGCGTCAAAGCTAGAGGAACCCATAACTCCATGACATCTCTTCCTGTAATTGTTCTCCTGATGCATGTTCACAACGTTTATATATCAGATTATCTATAAATTTTATATCGGGAAGGTATTTTTCCTTTCTTTTAAGTTTTTCCAGTAAAGACAAATATTCAGCAGACAAAAATTCTTTAGATTCCAGATCAATCTCTATAGAGTTCTCAAATTCAGATATATATATCTCCTCTATATTCCTACAATTGAGTTCCTCGTTGTTTTCCGAAAACATTCTAGATAGAGAATCCGGTACGATATTCTGACAACCTTTCCGATGACGTATGGTAAAATTAAAACCTTGCAATTTCAATGCCCATCTTGCGAGTCGTCCGTGCAAGTCCGTCTGATTCATGAGCCATTTGAGAGAAGCATGATCCGTTATTATTTCAAACTCATGACCCTCTACATAGGCTCTAAACTTCTTGACAGCCATTACAGCTGCAAGACACTCTTGTTCTGAAACAGAATAATTTTTCTGAGCTGACGTAAGTTTATGACTCATGAATGCTATGGTAGTTCGTCATTGTCGTCGTTTCTCTGTGCGAGAACTGCCCCAATCCCATATTTACTTGCATCACATTGTATCGAAAACGGACGGGAGAAATCTGGGTTATGTAGAACTGGTGCAGAACAAAGAGAATCTTTTAAATTTTCGAAAGAAGCTTTTTGCTTCTTCGGACCATGAGAACTTTCTATTTTTCTGTAACATGTTGGGTCAAAGGGGTTGTTACAGTTGCAAAGTTACGGACAAATCGTCGATACCCACCCACAAATACCTAAAAATCTTCTTAACTGACGGACGGACGTTGGTAACGGAAAATTTCGGATAGCCTGTACTTTGTCCGGGTCTGTTTTAATTGTACCATATCCTATAATGTGCCCTAAATATTTCACATGTTTGAGAACAAACTTACTTTTCTCGATATTTATGGTTAGATTCGCCTTCCTCATGCAGAGAGCAACCTCATGGAGCAACAAGATATGTTCGTCGAAAGTTTCGGTAATAAGAAGCAGATCATCCAGGTATATAAGACTTTGGTCCGTAAGTGCGCCGGTACAACTTTGTCCATAAGCCTGGACATCGTTTGCGGAGCATTACATAAACCGAATGGCATAGTAACAAACTGGTATAAGGGACGCCCTGGTACGGTGAAAGCTGTCTTTTCCTTTGACCTTTCATCTAATGGAATCTGCCAGAAGGCGTCCTTAAGATCAAGACTCGTAATGAATCTGGCCTTAGGGAGCCTACTGAGTATTCCATCGATCAGAGGCAAAGGATAAGCATCTTTCACAGTGACACTGTTAACTTTTCGGGCATCAAGGCACAATCTCACCTTACCCGGTTTGCGTACTAATGCCACTGGAGATGACCATGGACTTTGCGACTCTTCTATTACCCCTAGCTGGAGCATACGATCTATTTCTTCAAATAATAATTGTTCAATAGCAGGTGAAACTGCGAAATGACGTTGCTTGATGGGTTTGTTCTCTGCTGTGTCAATTACATGTGATACTAACGTAGTTCTTCCTAGCCCTTCTTTCGCAAATGACGGGAATGAGTTAATAGCAATATCTAACCTGTTTCTCTGATCATTATCTAAAATATGCACATTATCATCGGTTTCTATCTCATTCAGATTAACATTTATAGTATGAGAAATATTCTCGGGAAAATAGATCTTTGCCTAAACCAAAAGATCTGACAAAATCAGCACCTAGATACAAATTCTGTGTCAGGTTTTGTATAATTAAAAGTTAATAGGTTTAGAGACACCTCTGAATGTCACTGTTGTTGTAATACACCTAATGTAGGGTGATTCGTTCCATCGGCTGTTTTCAAATTAATTTTAAACTTTTTAAAAGGATATTTGCCTTCTTCAAAGAAACGTTTAGCGTACTCCGAAGAAAAACACGACACTGTCGCGCCAGTATCTATCATGCCAACCAAATTTTCATTAAATATCTTCACCGTTGTAAAAGGTCTAATGTCATTATCATTATTGCATGAAACTACAGCAGAACAAACATGTTTACGATTTTTCACAACATTCTTCCAAAAACTTCTAATCCTCCTAGTACTTCTTTTACTTTTCTTAAAAATCTTCGGTTCTATTATCTCCTCGCAAAAAATTCTACTTTTAGCTTCCCTATATTCTCGCAATCTGACATGATACGGTTTTGAAATGTTTCGGAATGTAATTCTCTATGAAGAAGTTGTTATTTTTATCATTGTCATGCTTATGGGTAGAAATAACTTTATAATCTTCTGTTAAATCTGTTTGACATTCTGTTGAAGCTACATTTGAGTAGATTTGGATACCAACTGTTTTGGTTTCGGATTGTGTTGGTAGTTTTTTGGATATTTGTTGCATTTTAAACAATTGGTTTGAAAACATTAGGTGTTCCGCAACCATAACAAAACACTTTCCGTTCAGCAACACAATCTTCCAACCGGTGTCCTTTTTGGGAACAATTCCAGCAAGACAAATCTTTTATCTCTTCGATTTCTATACCTATATTACCACTATCATCAGAAAATTCAGTATCTAATTCCGACACAACTTTGCGAGGCAAAAATATTCTATTATTTTTATATTTATTTATTTTCTTCTTCCAAAATCTCATGTTTTCTAACATATTCTCTAAGCTGTGAAATAGAATTGATATTCAAATACAATAGTTCTTTACGAACATCTGGTCTTACGTTCTTTTCAAAATTTCTATTAATTCAGAATTTTCATTGGCTGTTGTAAACGATCAGATATCTGCAAAACAGCATCATAAAACACATCAAATTTCTCACCATTCCTTTGCTTCCTATTTCTAATCTGTTCTTTTAAATTCAAAATCTGTTCTTCTATCGCGAAACTGATTTCCTGAGCTCCTCGCATAAAATAGTCCAGTCTAGTCTTGTAGTATTTCGGTGAACCCGCCAAAACCAATCGATGGCTTTTCCCACAAAATAGCAAATGAATATGCCTACATAATAATTCAAATCTCCCCGCAAGCCTTGAATAGTGAGAGCTTGAATTCTATAAATAAAATTATCACGGACAAACCATCTTCTTCCTGCCCACTAACTTTAAGTGCCAGCCGAAATAATTTGAGATACCTTGTCTGTAGTGAGATCATAGCTAGGATTTACAATAGTGTTTCCAAAACTTGGTCTACCGCCTAAAACTCCATGAGGATTATGGTTGCTAAAATTTGTATTTCCTAAACTCTCTCTTGAGTTTCTATGCTGAGTCATTCTAACGAAATTATTATTTCTATTACCTCTAAAATTTTGATTTCTACTACTGTTATTAGGGTTTGGTCTATTACCGTGAATTGAGTTTAAATTAAGAGACTCTAACTGAGTTCTTACGCATCATTTATTAAATTTTGAAGTGTATTATCACTCAAATCATGGGCGGAAAATTGTTGATGTGCATTCTGAGAGTTTGTTGAGGAAATGTTAAGTAAATTATCACTAATTCTACCTCATGATTTCGAGTGAATGCAGGAGTTCTAGTCATTTCCGTTTCTAGCAAATTACGTCTGATATTCTTCCTATTTGTGTTTTTCGGTATAGCACCTTTATTGCCAATATTTGTATTGAAAGAAGTTGGATTAGAAGTGGCTTGGGATTCCCCTTCTGCCAAAATATTGTGAGACTTTAGCTTGACTTGCCTACACGCCTTACTACAAATGGGACATGCTTGAGTATCCTTGAGAACTTCAACTATGCAGTCCTTATGGAAAACATGGTTACATGGGGTGGAAACAACTATGTCGTCTATTTCATAATCTTTGTCACAAATTGTACATTTTCTCTTATTAACATTTTCGCGCGAGAGATGATAAATTCTCATTACTATGTACTAGGGACATTTTGTTATGTGTTTCAAAATTTAAAAAAATTAATATTAATCTTGTAAAACTGTCCTTATGGTCTTTGGTAAAATTGAGTGCTAAATAATATATAAAAAATTGGAAAATCTAATTTTCGGTTATGAAATAATAAAATAGGAAACTTGGACTATCCATTAAGCTACAAAAGTGGACAATTGATGGTATATAGAAATAACTACAAAACAATTGTAATTCCAAAGCTTTTATAAACTAAATAACAGAACAAATTTCAGATTATATTAACTCATACCTAGAGAATAAACCGAGGCTTTTACTTGCTTAACAGAAAGGAATAAAAATAGTCTTTTAAGTTGTAATGGATTGTAAAGGTTTCTATTTTACCTAATACAATATTTCCTAAAACGACTAAAAAGTATTTTATTCTTGGTCTAAAACCAAATAAATTGACAATCACAATGCTAATAAAAGCATCGGACAAATTCTCCAGAAGTAAATAAGTGTAATTTTATATAAAACCGAGGTGTTTGGTTATTAGTAGGATACCCAAAACATATTTCTATAAGATGTAATTCAACGATATAAATTTTTACGTTTTGGGCCCCACGTTGGGCGCCATTTAATTTTGTAATGGTTTCATTCAAAAGTTTGATAACTTATAGTGGCAGATGTTATTTAGAACATTTTTAATGTGAAAGACAGAATTCAAAGGTGGTATAAGTTCTCTAAAATGATTATGTTTATAAAATATCAACATGTTCAATTTAGGTTGTTTCAGGTTGCGTTTCGCACGTTCTAGCTGAGCTAACTAGTTCGGCAGTAGTGGGCGGGGATCTTGCTCCTGAGTTTAACCTTGCCTATGCATTACAAACCAAAAAAAAGATAACGTGCGAATAATATGCCCTTATTGTCTATTACACTATCACTTATGCTATTTTCCTCATTAAAGCCTTAGGTGTTATAGCCTTGAACCTCTTTACCCACCCATCCTAGGTTTTTCGTAGGTTGGAAGTTTAGTAATGAAAAACCCCAAACACACTAGATTCTACCAAAGACCGTTACAGTTTTACCACAAAAAAAACTTAATTCATTTTTGAATCCAAATACATATGTATAGTATATCTTATCAAACAGTTCTATCAGTTTTATAATCAATCACAAAATATATATAAAATATATAAATCAAAAATGGGTTAATATGAACAATAACGAAAGATAAAAAAAATAATATAATGATCATTAACCAAGCTTTAATTGTTTTATTTGCACTCAATTTTAATTGTGCTTAAACGAGAAAGTTCAATTTACCACAATTAAAACTCTGTTGATCAATAAGCTTAAATAATATAAGAGATGAAAATCAAAATCAAAACAAAGAACTTACATAAAGTTTTATCCAACGCTGCATGTAGAAGGCCTCCTGCATACTTGTTGTTGTTTTTGCAGATCGATAATTTTGGTGGAGATTTCTTCTTTTTTGTTTTGGTTAATTTGTTATAATAAATTAGGGTTAGCCATAAGGTATTAAATTTAGGGAAATTTCATAACTAATTACTATGGTAATATCGTAGTTAGTTAAACTTGAAATTGTCTTAATATTGGTGATATTAATATAATAAGTGCAATATTAGATCAGATTTAGGTACAATTTTCATTGTTTTTTTTTTTTAGTATTATAAGTAAATATTTGAATAAACTGTTTAAAGGTGATTTTAAGTTTTACATTAAATTTAATGCAAGAACATAATTAGTTTTAATAATTAAGAAAACTGAACTTAATTATATGAGTTTTGTTTGGAAAGTCGCTAATGGAGTTTAGTTAATATCTGATAATGAAAAGTTTCAAAGGGTTATTTATAGTTTTAGATTTAAAAAAAAAAATCATAGTTAGTTGGTCGAATTAGTAGGGAATTTTAAGATATAGTTAGATACAATTTTGGTTTAGATGTTATGATATGGCTGGATAATTTCAAATATTAGTTTTTATATATAAAGATGCTGAATCGGAAAGATGATAATTATCTTGGTACGCTGGTAATGTTCGGTAGCAATTGAGGTATATTTATAGGCAAAATAAGTCTTCTTTTGTTGATGCTTAGGTATATTTGCAAGTTGATTCGGGGTTTGTGTAATGTTGATTCACCGGTTACGTGACGAAGTCTCACAATTTAGGTAGATAGGGAAATATTTTTATAGGCCAAATTTAAGTTCCTTCAAAATCTAAGGTTGCTTCAGTTGAAGATTAACAAGTGCTGAAGTTTAGTGGGATGTGGTAAAATAAATTACTCCCTTGGCATAAATGTGGTTTCCACCGATTACGTAACGGTGTGAAAAATAGCACATGTGTGTTTGTTAGTTGGACCGAGGTCCCACAATACACAAGTGTATTGGGGACGATAACACAACGTGGTGGTTTTCCGGAAAAATGTATGCCGTCTTCTTTAACTATTTTAGACAAAAAAAAAACAGTATTTTTGTTGGGGTAAAAGTCTTAACAACAATGATTTCCTCAATTTTTTTGATTTTTTTGATAGTATATACTAAAATTTCACTTTTAATCAGTTTAGATGTTATTAATAAATTTAAATTTCTAAAACTTTGACAATTTTTTTTCTTTAATCTCACACTGTACTTTATTAGTTAAATGTCTTGAAAGTAATTTAAAACTTTATGGAATCGCAGTCAAAATTGAAAAGACTAAAGACTTTTACTTTTTTAAACCATTAAACCTCTCAAAAATTACTCGTTTCCCTTCCCTCTACAATAAAACTAGGCGTAGAGCTTTCAGAACTGTAATTGAGATATATATTTGTTACTCTCATTCATGATCCACAAATATCATGTATATTAAATACATGGGGCATACATGAGATCGTATTAACGAGTAAATGAAGTTTAAAGCAAAATGATCATAAACTCTGAGTACTGATCAGTACATATTCTGTCAGTGATGAGATTTGTAAAAAAGGGAAATTTTATGTGCTCATGTTGTAAAACAAATGTTTGCCGGGATAAACATAAATAAATGTTATACGATTTCTGTCATAATGATAAATAATTAGCATTTTAGTGACACGATAACAAAATTAACTTTATACATAATAATGATAATTTTTAGTGAAGAGAATAATAACGGTTTAGAAATTTGATTTCCTAATTTAAATTAAATAGTTTAATTAGTTGCCTATATTTTCGTCTAATTTATTTAGAACCATATTTTTACAAATAGGTTTCCACCAATAAAGGAGTATCTGTAATAATAAGGTGAAATATTAAAACAAATTTCTAAATAGTAACATAAAAAATGACATATCGTGAAAATTATGTGTACACTATAGACTAGACTATAGACTAGACTATCGAATAGACTATAGACTAGACTATAGACTAGACTATAGACTAGACTATAGAATAGACTATAGACTAGACTATAGACTAGACTATAGACTAGACTATAGACTAGACTATAGACTAGACTATAGACTAGACTATAGACTAGACTATAGACTAGACTATATAGACTAGACTAGACTATAGACTAGACTAGACTAGATTATAGACTAGACTATATACTAGACTATATACCAGACTCTAGACTAGACTTTAGACTAGACTATGGAGTATAGACTAGACTATAGACTAGACTATAGACTATACCAAAGACCAAACTAAATTATTACTAACAGTCTTAAATGAGACAATTAAAATACCCACTAACTGTTGCAGCATTTTTAAATTTTTTGCTGACCACCAACACATAGTGAAGACGTCCTTTAGCTAAAGCACAGTCCTTGTTATTATTATTATTTCTTTTAAACAAACAATCTTGAAATGTTTCGGTATTTGAGGCTCAGTTAACCATCCTTTTTAACAAGACACTTCACAATTGAAAACTAAACTGAAAGAATGTAAAAGGTAACAACATTGAATGAATTGAACGAATAAACGGATAGAATGGGGCGAACCAACAACAAATGACGAATGAGTGAATGAGTTGAAAGCAATTTGATGTGACATAATGTCAGGATATAAGACAGGCTATAGTTAGAATACTACTACAACAACATGTTGTTACCTTATATTTTCTCCTTTTTGTTCAGTATCTTAACTCTAGTAAATTTTTTAGTTTTTGCCATAGAGTTAGAGGCAAAATGTTGAACCGGAAAAAAACTAAAGAAATGTTGGCAGTGTAAAATTATTGTCACGATTTTTTTAATGTTCAAGTGGCGTTTAAGTGTCTGCTTTGCGCCACTACAGCCACCTCAACTCCACTCAATTTTGTTGAAAACACAACGCTCAACTCATCTCTGGTTTCAGAACAATGTCATACAATTTGGCGTCATAACGACAGATCAACTTTGCTGTTGTTGCTGTCTTATGAATCACCCTTTCCCGCGGCCCAACAATAAAGACAACAACGCTAAACATGCCAACGATATAAATGAAAATTCCTTTAAACACTCTTACCTACAAACATACACTAACATATACTTTGTGTTGTTTTTGGTGGATTTATCCTTTTAAAATTTTGTTATCACTTTGTTTGTCTTAGAACTGTGTTTGTGTGTATGTTTTTTGTCTTGTCTTGTGTTTGAAAAAGTGATGTCAATGTTGCTGTTATGATTTTGTCATTGCTTTAGCTGATGTTGATGATAATACTGCTGCCATTGCTGTTGTGATGTTTTCCTAGAATCTTGATGATGACGTCAACATAAAAAATAATAACAGCCAGCATTTCACAGAACCGACAATAACACAGCAACTGAAGACTTTTAATGTTGTTTTTTGCTTTTGCTGATATATTTCGTTGGGTTTTTTTTTCGTGAAATTGTTTATGTATTTTCTTGTAACTTCCGTTATACTTCCGTTTTTTGTTAAAGATTGAAAATTGTATTAACAGCGATATTTTTATTTAAAGCATGATGCTCAGTGATGGTATATTAAAGTAATGGTAGTACATGTTTCAGACTATACTTTTTAGACCAGATTATAGTCTTTAGAC